CTACAAGTGACGTCGGGTGTCCCCCAAGGTTTTTTGTTAGCCGTACGGACGAGCACGCGAGCCCTCGCCAACAGGTTTCCACTCTCTGATCACCGGGTTCGATTGGCAGGCCTCGGTCTGCATGCCGCCGGACCCGTCGGTTGAGTCGGTGATCGACGAAACCCCTGGTTGCGAAGGTCGCTTAACCCTTGATTCCATTGTGCAATGGCTAGAACCGGTGAAGTTTTCGGGCGAGTGTCTCCCAGTCATAAGCCGCTTTCATTTTGCTGAAGCTATTTGGAACAGTTAGGGGCTCTGTTGTGTATCACTGTATGCGATCATAGCCGGATCTGCAGGCTGATGTCCATATCGGGACTATGTTTGACAGCTGGGTTCAACCGTTCCTGTGTGACCAGGGTCCCTCCATTATATGTATAGGACGGGTCGTTGTCGTGCGCAACCATTGTCTGTTTTTCCCCTCCATATCTCTCTGTTCGACGTCCGCGTCTCCACAGTCTTTTTCCTTCACTTTCGTTTGTTTAACCATGCGCTTCGCGCTCGCTTCGTTCACCGCCGTCGTTGCGGCCACGCTTGCCCTGGCCCAGCCTCACGCCCGTGCGTTGACGCTCAACCCGGCGCGAGAGACGATTCCGGGTGTTGAGGACTGGAGCAACCTCGCCGCGGCTCCCTCTCCGCCCACCACCAATGCGAAGCGTTTTGCGATGAAGCTTCCTCCCCTTGCTCCCAGGGCCCCGCATCGTCACCCCCAGCGTGCTGCTCCTCACCGTCTGGGTATGTCAAGACTTGGACGGAGTATTGATGTTGTGTAGCTAACGGTATTTTATTGACAGGCTCGCGTGTTCAAGCTGCTCCGCGTGCGCAAAGCTCCCCTTCGCCCCCTGTCACGTATGTCTCATGTTTCATTTCATGATTCGGTCGTTTATTCATCAAGGACAGTCAACAATGCAACATCTTGGTGAAGAGTGCCGCAGAAGTGTTTGGATTTATCGCTCCTATGCTCAACGTTTTTGGAGAGTACGGCATATTTGTGCCAGACCAGGCTAATGCGCTCCTGGTTTCATTTACGTACTTGCCGGACTCGCCCAGCCAGCTCGATTTCACCGCGGTCAATGGCCTAGCTTCCGCTTTCCCGTTTGTGGGCGGCGGTAGGTTCTATTTCTGATCAACTTGTTCGCTACTCAAATGATTTTAGTTGTCGGATTCGCTTCCACTGATGACAACTTTGGTCCCGGCAGTTACAAGTAGGCCGAGTTTTTATCGTTGGTGATTGGTCGTTGACACTTGCGCAGCTATGCCTACATAGCCGGCACCGAGCAGATACCCGCTGGCCCCGCTGTACTTAGGGACAGCACGTTTGGCACGGCTACTGGCGTCCCAACCGATTCTGAGAGCGCGATCTGGGTCTACGACCCCAAGACCCAGGCCATCACTCCTCAATGGATCAATACCGATGGGAGTGCGCCCGCTACTTCCATCATCTACGCCAATGATTTCAACCGTGCGTCCTTGGTTTGTGCGTGCGCCGAAAGTAGCCTTTTAACATATCATTGCACCCGCAGAGGCTCTTTTGCTTACGGGCGACGCCCCTACGCTTCGAGAGACCTTTGGTGCGGACTACCCGGATGTTGTAGGTGTCTTCAAAATTTGTCGATGTTCGCGTCGCCTAACTTGCGTTGTTTACTTAGACTTTTACTTGCGTCCCCCCGATGGTCGCCCCATCTCGCAACTAATTTTGTGTTCTCTCCATTTGCCTGGTCTTCACGAGATTCGGTTGCTAAGTGCCTGGGACATTGGGTTCGATCGTCTGTTTCCTTCGTCATTTTAGAGTGATGTATCGCCCATTTTCTGGACTTGGTTGCGTAACTATAAATTCATTCCTATTCGGGTTGGTACAATATTTCTTGAGTGGTACGAGGGACGTTTAGATACAAATCGCCCTTGACGTGCGAATGAATGCAGGGTACGATCTGTTGAATAACTTGGAACAGGAGAGGTCTGCAGCATTCAGTTTTGACTCGCGCTTGCCCAAATTGGTATGATCTTTTGCTCGTGTATCACGCGACACTCTAGTGAATGCTCGAGTGCTATTCATTTTTGGCTCAGGAAACGGGAGCATCTTGGTGCGTGGCGGGGGCTGTCGTTTAACCAGTTCGGTCTCATCCAATTCTCTAATGTCAGGCTAGTTTGTGAATGGATGCAAGAAGCGAGGGATGGACAGACAGAACACCGTACTGGAAGAAAACTACTGCTTTTTCCTAACAATTCCCAATGAAGCCTGTAATTTCGCCTTGTCCGGCTTTTCCCTGTCTTGAGCCGCAAGCGCCGGTGGACGGGCGACAACACTCTTGAGTGAGCTCGGCATTATTCCGAGGCTAAGTCCAGGTGTAGTGGGTTTGGGTATCGGGAACTTGGGACTCGACGCGCGAGGCACCGATTGCGCACCAGTCGCCGATGCCGCGGGAACGATCGACGGTGGAGGTTTTACTGGGAGAGAGGGTGTTAAATTAGGCTTTGGCTGAGCAGTATTTGGACCTAAAAACTGGTTAGATTTGATGGGATATCAAGAATGAAAAGACGTGCCCAGGACTTCGGTCAAGAACGCTTCGGCCGCTGCGTCTTCCTGTGTGGCTCGATCGCGCTCCATGACACCGAGTTTAGCCTCGAGTGCTGCGATCTTGGCCGATGTGCTCGACGGTTTGTTCTGAGTTTTGAGAAGGGAGAGCGTGGTGTGGCGAGGCGGGGGCGCGAATCTCCTGTTGTTTAAAAGGGCCATCAGCAATGTTCACAGACGACAAGGTCATTAGGGTACCTATGCGGGCCTGTACCAGATCCAGCAAAGACCGAGTGTGCTTCTGGGTGGGCGCTTTGACTCGCAAACGTTACGGTGAGTTTCCGCCGGCGGAGAGGCTTGTCATGACACGCTACGAGGGCTTTGGTGGCTTCCTATGCCGGAAGAACAGGCAAATCGGAGACGAAGCCGTCAGAGGCGGATGAATATAAAGGAGAGGGCGACGAACCTGTTTGGTGGAATACTCGACAAAGGCGTAGCCTCTGGGCTTGCCTTTGAGAGGACCGGATTTGTGGAAGAGAAAATCAAGCTTGGTGACGTTTCCAAACTTGGAGAAGACCTGGAGTAGAGCGTATCTGTAGGCGGATGTGAGCGACTGGAACAACGACAAGCGCAGTACTCACTCGTCGACTGTGTGGTCGAGGTTGCCGACGTACAAACGATTCCCGCGTTGATCCTCTGGGCGGGGTGGAGAAGCTTTGGACGTCGATGCTTGTGGGGGTTCTGGGTCAGATACTGGGATAATAAGAACGTCGGTGGTCGATGGATTTGCGGCCATTGGGATCTAGAGTGGCGAGATGGTTGTGGAGGTTGGCAAGTTGAAGTGTGGCTGTACACTCCCAGAAACTGCACGGCCACCGTCTGTCCTCGGTGAAAAGCGGGATCGATCCCGGCTTGGGCACATCTTTTTGGGTGTCATTTTGTTCAAAAATTGGATTTTATGCCCTGGGGAACGGCAAGATGTCTAATTAGGACATCCCTAGTCACCTGTCTGAAAGCCAAGCTTCACGAAACTGAAATAACAGGACAAGGGAGCGAAGCAAGAGGTGGGTTCATAGGAGCTTTCTGAAATCTGAGCTATGCGCGACAGACAAGTACACTATAGCACGCTGCTTGGCGGGTTCACGCCTGTGTGTTTGCGGTTATGCCAGCTCTTGCACCCGACACGATATGATAGAGGTTGAAGAAACCACACGTTTGCTTGAAACGTCGACCTCCAAAGATCGTGGGTAGTTGGCTACACATGCCCGTTGTGTCTTGTGGATGCTCCGCCATGTTTGCTATAGATGGGTTCTCGGTTTAAGGTTGTATTGGCACTACCGCCTCAATGCTGGCCAATTACGAAAGCGATAAACCAGCACCAACGCGGGACTGGTACCCTACAAGTATCCAGAATAAAAACAATCATATTACACTACGCGGTCACAACGTGCCGCAAGGATATACAACTACATACCCAAGTCTACATTCAAACGCTTACTTGGAAAAGTAGCGCACAAGTTTTGCCGAAATGTGGAGGAAGAAGATAGAGGCGATAAACGACAGCGACAGCATCATGACAACGAATGGGTCCCTGCGAGAGGTAGTTTGTCAATATGCCACGTCAAACCAGAGGCGTGGTGAGATGAGTACTCACACGCGCAGGCCAGCCGAATCGTCGGTGTACAGCTTGAGCATGGTATTGCTCGATCCACCGGCTCCTGCGGCGCGTGATGAGTTGGGTTTTTGAGCGGCCTGGTTGGTTGCACGGCGCCTGCAGAAAGCCGAAATATGTCAGAACTTGGTGCTCAGCTGATATCCAGGGAAAGCGGTTGCTACAGTGGTATGGGCGAATAGAACACTCACCGGACTTGCCCCGCACCAGGGGGCCGTGAAACCGCAGAGCCCGATCCAGGCCGAGGGGGCTGGCCAGATGGAGCACCAGTGGGAGAAGACGGGCGGCTGGAGTCAGACTACCAAGGCAACATCAGCAAATTTCTGAGATACCAGCGGCCGAATTGTCTTTACCATTTTTGAAGAGTCTTGGTGGAATGGGGAACGAGCGGAGAGGGTGGTGGTGAGGTGCAAGTGGTAGTGTGCAAGTGCGGCTCCAGCAAGAATGAGGACGTGGCATAACTGAAGCACAGCCACCCGTCGAACAAGCCACGTGACTTGTCCCGTGTATATGCTCCCGTAAGCTCCGCACGAGTTAAGCAGAGGAACAAAGGGGCTGCACGTCATTGGAGTAACCGGAGGAAACAGGGTGTTAGTATCCATCGTTAATTGGCAGCTATATGCTGCATTTTGAATGGAAAACGCCTGCGGCTAGGTGGCTGCACGAGGGGGAGGTGGTTATTAGCCTGAAGAAGCTTTCTCCTCCCTGCCTCCACACCGCAACAAGAACTACGACGGAAGTGGTCTATATAAGGCATAAAGTAGTATAGTTAAACAAGGGCATGTAGTGTAGGGGTTATCGCGCCTCATTCGCAAAAGCCAAAGTCCGGAATTGAACGGACATTTGGTGAAGTGGCTTGAGGAGGTCTCCAGTTCGATTCTGGACTTGTCCATCCTTTTTTGCCCTCGGTAAACCTCGGGCTGAACTTGATTTTTTGTTTGGCGGGGCCAGCGAAATTTGACGGAATTTTTTCGAGTCAACCCTGAGGTCACGTGCCAGAAACCTCATTCGTACCTTGACCTTTGCTGGCTTGCTTAGAACTAGAAACAACCGGCTTGAATGCCATAAACTCCCTCTAAGATATCCTCAAGTTTGGCTGTGCAGAGTTGGTTATGTGCGCTAGGTGTTACTGTGCTGCAATATGCTTGTACTCAACCTGCGCCATTTGAATGGGTATATGTATAGTGTGAGCATCGCGGTATCCGCTACAGCGTGATCGCACAATGCATATAAAAAAGTCCAAATGATAACACATCGGTCTATGCACGTTTAAACCCAAAGGTAGCATGGTACTTGACTGAAACCTGTACACCCGGTGCACTCAGGTCACTGATTGCCTGGTCCACCACTTGCCTCGCCTCCTCGGCGCTCATGCCAAACGCCTGAAACGGCGCATACATACTTCGCCAAATATGCGCCCACCCATGTTGCCCGATTGCTGCGACATCCTTCATTCGTTTTTCGGTCGGCCATGTTCCTATCGGAACTAGAAACGCAGCATACCCAATGTCCTGAAAGCCGAGCATCCGCTCTGCAAACGGGTTCATGAACGCACTCGAAGGGTCATTGGGCAAAGCCCAAACGTCCGACTCGGGCCGCAACCAGAGATGCATGTCATGGCACATGCGCACGTCGACACCTTGGCGAGTGAGACCCTGCCGAGTCAACTCAAGAGCCCAAGAGAGATGGGGGAGTTTCTCAAACGCAGGGTGATCCGCAACTGTAGCCTCGTAAGCCGAAAGCTCCCAGTTGCCAAACACGAAAAGACCGCCAGGCTGGAGTACACGATATATCTCCCGTATGAGCGCCTTGGGGTTCTTTAGCTGAAAGAGGTCAGCAACGGCAATACTACCCAAGATTTAAGACTTACATGCATAGCCGCGTGACGCAAGTGTACAACATCGAACGAATTGCTTTGCTCGGCTATACCATTATAGAGATCGTACACCTCAAAGGCAATATTTTCTCGAGGACTATGCGGGACAAGAGGCGTGTTGTCGACGCTGGTGAACTGGACATGCGGATAATCCTTGGCCATATCCTGGACCCTGGAAATGCACATACTCGGAAATCTTGGCAAACTTCGCAAAAGAACGAGACATACCAAGAGCCTTCGGCAGTAATAAGGTCCAGGACACGTTTCTGCCACTGCTTGTTGGTGCTTGAGGTGAGAACCTCGTGCACAGGCCCATAAAAATTTGCGCCGAGGAAGATTTTGAGCTGAATATGCTGCAACATGAGCCTTTTCACCTCTCCGACGTCCGTAGGTAAGGCAATTGGCATGTTCTCATCGGCCGGAAACATTCTTCCATTGAGCTGCTGAAAGTATTCTACGGCATTGTTAGGCATTTTTAAGTCCATCAATGTCGCATACCAATAGCTTCCTGAGATTCCAATGTGCTCATGGTTTCTGCGGTCGTATCAGAAGGGATTTCGGATTCGATGTCGCTTATCGCGTCATCTTGCTCGGTGTCGTCAACATAGTACACAGGTGCAGGCGTTGTCTCCCGGAGGTCCATAGTTGGAGGGCGAAATCTGGTTAGCTCTGGACACCCCACTCAATTATAGACAAAATAACAACAAAAAAAATTGCAACATGGATAACGCCACAAGCCTGCGCGGAGATCATCGCTCATAATCTATCTGTCCCCGTTGACAGATAGCGAGTTCACACGAGATAGTTCCCTTAGGCTAGCCCAAAGTGGCTCACAACGGACAAAAGGACATTCTATGATAGGATTCCGAACTCGGCAGAGACTCTAGTATCGATGAATTGAGTTTACGGCGTTCAATGACTGAACGCATATATGCCTACACTCGGAGGGGTCAATATTTTGCCGATGCATTGACGTTACTGCCAAACTACTAAGTATAGGCATCACTCCGATCGATCCCAGATAGTTAATCGCATAGCGAAGCTGTAGATCCTACAAGTATAGAGTAGGTACATGAAGCCGGGTCGCGGGATAGGAGGACAAAAAGTGGCTGAACACAATCAATACGCGGATCCCCAGAGGACAAAGCTCTTGACACTTGTACACCGTGACGACGGCGTCCCAACAGCTCTAGTCACCGGCCCATGGACAGATGACGGATCTCTCCCCAGATTTAGGGCCTTGGTTGCCCCTGGGTTGTCCGGTGCTTTATTCTTGCGCCCGCGGTCACGTGCAGCCCTGCTGGCGAATCGTACAGTATTCGTACTTCCGTACTGCCCTCTTGCTCAGAGCTGGAAACAAGAGACCGGAATATGCTAAAATCTCCCAAAGCCACCGCCCAACGCCAAATCGAAAGGGCATGAGTGTTGCATGAACGAATCTTTGAGTTTGGCTGCGCGGCATCAGTTATGCGCGCTGGACCTCGCCGCGCCGCAAGATACTCGTGCTCGGCTGGCACAATTTGGATGTGTACATGCGGGGTGAGCATCAAGGTATAACGCAACGGTGTGATTGCACAGGATGCATGGTATGAGTTGGGAACTACATACTGTAGCTGTGAGTGTATTGCTCTTCTGCATGAGATATGCACCGAAGTTTGTTGTTTAAGACTTAGATTATATCAGCCATTCAACGACCGGCAAGCTATCCAAGTATATCCACTCGCTGCCTTTTTGCGGTCTCACTGGCGCAAGGTTATCTAGACATCCAACGGCCTTACGCCATGTCGATCTGGCGCCTTATGCTGCAGAAACTGCGCAAAATTCAGGATCAAGTGCAGAAGGAAACATGAGCTAGGCCTTTCCCCTCTGGAGATACATGCGCTGGCATGTACTCTTTAATTCCCAGAACCTCGCACTCACGCATATACTTAAGCACATCTTATCATGCGATTGAGGTGGAGTTACATTAGGGTTATACCAACAATAACCTGCTTGAGCAGACAATGTTCTATGGTCTCGGCTGGAATCCAACTGCTAACCGGCATTTATCGCTGCGCAAGTGGCCAAGCCCGAATTCACCTGCAGATCGACAATACAATGACCTTTGCATTTGCCACGTAGATAAAGCGAGATCTTTTCACACCTTGCTAGCCGATCATCTACTTGGCGAACCTGATCTACAGACTTACTGCTTCTAGTTGTCTGATTGATTACAATAGGAAAGGTCGGGCTTGTGCGGAAGATTCACATGCGGCGTTTAGCCTCAGAAAGGCACTGGATGCGGAGGGGAGCATACATACGTTCAAAAGTGTAACCTCCACTTCTTTGAACACCTCTTCTAAGTTGTTTTTGGCTTGTTGGAAGTATCCCATCTCTGAAGTCTACTGGGCACGTCTACAGGCTCGCAAGCAATCAGGAGCGGATAGGGGCATCAATGCTCCAGGGCGCTCGAGTGATTGAGCCCCCAGAGGCGCTTGCTTGTCCCGGAGGATTTGGCAGATGTATGCGCAGCTGAAATCGAGATGAATTGATCATCATTATGGCCCGAGAGGCCACCGTCCGATTACAGTATGACGACTCCGCTTATTCGTCTCCCTGCTTAAAAGAAGGTGGATGTGAATTTGCTGGCCAGCGAAGCAACCTACTCGAGCACGCCCTGAGCAAAAAATTACAGGTTATATAACTGGAACCTGCTGGATCGCATTGTCCCCACCCCTCTGAAGCAGATACTCCACAATGGATTACACGTGTGAACTCGATGAAACGCCGCTGTACTATGTCGACGATATCAATTCGGACGACGAGCGCAGCGATCCCGAGCTATACTCCAGTTCATCAGCGACTAGCAGCAGCATTGATACTTTGGCTTCGTCCGAGGTGCATGGTACGCTATCTCTGAGCGGCCACTATTTCGTCCAAACTCACCGCACACACCAGACTATTTCCAGGAAGCGCACGGCCGCAAGTTTCCCGCGGATGCCAACATAGCGATATCACTCCCAACCGACTCCATTGAAGTCCAGCGTTGTGCGGAACAACATCGAATACTCAAAGCTTTTTTGGGATCTAACTATTGGGGACCGGTTGATCAAGCCCTAACAACAGCGCCTGGGCATAATGGGAGGAAGAAAGTACTGGATATGGTGACCGCGGAAGGCTCTTGGTACGTCTCTTCACGTTCTGGACGTAATATCCCCCCGCCTAATGCTGCGTAGGGCCCAAGAGATGTCACTACAGTTTCCGCATGTCGACTTTCTCAGCCTAGACAACGTACCGCTCACACCTCACATGCCACACCCAAACGTAGAGTTTGAAGTGTACGATCTGTATAATGGGATTGCGGCTCCGGACGAAACATTTGATGTCGCCCATATGCGTTTCACAATGATGCATGTAAGTCACCCCTTTTTTTCGCGTCATAATATTCCAACAATTCTACCGAGGCAGCTCACAAATCCTCAAGACGTCATCCGGGACATTCATCGCGTACTCAGGCCCGGTGGGCTGTTCCTCTTTGCCGACACGGAACTCAGCGTCTTTGACGCTCTGAATCCTGAACGAGCAATGAACGAGGTTCTCCCTTCGTTGTCCGAAGGGTTCAAGATAATGCGCGCTGCACTTTCTCAACAAGGCGTCAAGATACATATGGGTCGTGAAGTATCCAGTTGGCTTGCCCCCGACTCTGATATGTGGATGTCCGTACAAGCCAAAGAGCCAGGCAAACCTGTTGGGTTTCGGGACATTGAGTACAAGCAACACCTTGTCCCTGCGGGCACCTGGCCAGAAGACACATGGATGAAAGTGATCGGCAGGGATGTTGGATGGGCGTGGGGGCAGATATGGAGGAGTATGGAAGCACCATTGCAACTGTTTGGGTTGGACGAGGCAAACGCGAAGCGAGTCGTGCGTGGTGCTGTCGAAGATATCAATCGGCCTGGAGTTGCAATCGCTGCCAAGTTTCACATGGTTTACGCTTTCAAAATCTGAAATTCCGAGACCTGGGAGTTTATTCCCCT